AGAAGGGACAGAAAGAAAAGATTCAGATTCATTTTTCCCCTCGAAAGAAAAAGATTGATTTTTTGGTGTTCCGCTCTAGAGAGAGAAAAGAGTTCTCGTTCCGCTCGCGATAGAATTCGTGTGTTCCGATCGCTATCGACAAAACAGCGAGGTGCATCGTGCAGTGCCGTGCATTGCCGGACCGAGCGAAGAGAGGGAAGAGGAAGGACGACAGCCGACCTCGCGACAGGATCGACCCGCCCGACGACCGTTCAGGATCACGCCGCCGGGAGGTTCCCGAATCTGTAAGACCGTCCACCAGCTATCATTTTCGGTGTTCCGTGTACGGGTCGCGTCCGACAAATAATTGTGTTGCGCCGAGCAGTCTCGATCTCGCGGAAAAGAACAACGGAAACGTGTACCGTCCCGCGGAGTTTCGGAGCGTGCCGATTCCCGAAACAATAAACTTGTGATTCCGATAATAAGAACGCCGCTCTTTATTTGCTGCACGCCTTCCCAATTTCCGGCCTAACCCATCCCGTCTATCGACTGTAAATTTCACGGAGCTACCGGTCTCGTCGGAATCTCGCGTCGCGGCTACCTTGGTGGCAATTAGCGTTGGTGAGTGGTGCGGCTATCCGCACCTGGCGCCCAACATATTTGTGTGAGAGACCGTGACGCGTGGACCGGCAGAAATTTGCCAGCGCTAAGAAATCACGTCGCAATAAATACGAAAGCAGGTCAAATCCCGGTATTGTTCATAATTGATTCTTATTATTTAAAATTGTCTCAAGCACAGCCTTAAAATGTCGTAAACTAATCACAACAGAACCGTATGAGCGTCTTAAAAGACATTACTTATGATTACTAATCACGGACTAGGTACACGCGAGTGAGGCATGCGCGCCGGCTCTGAACGCTACATACAGCGCTTGTAGACAAAAGCGCTTACTCGTTAAATTTAACACGCTCTCCTGCAAAAACTACTTGTCGGACGCAATTTTGCTAAAGGAAAAAGTTGTTTGTTTTAGCATAAAGTATCATGTCCTATACTCCGAATGCGGGAATTTCGGATCACCCTGTATACTACTGTGATCAAAAAATATCCGAACTTTATTTTTTAAAAATCGTGGATAAACTGTAAATCAAATACGTTTACTTTCTTAAATTGGTACATATGTCCTCCACATTTCGTGAAAAAATCATGGCGTTCCTTCAAGTCATTTAAAAGTGGCAGTTGTTTATGTCAGTGAAGATAGTTGTGCATGGCGATTTTTACGATGTCGAAAAATATGGAGCAAAGAATTTGTTCGAAATTTTGTGTTGAAAATGAAATTTCGTTCACAAACGCATTCAAAATGTTGCAGAAAGCTTGTGACGATGATAGTGGACTTTTCAAACTTTAGCACACTTGTATGTACAGATACACGTGTATAATGTATACATGAAAAAAGTATAGTTTCATAATATATATCTATATATACATGTATATATACATAGGTAGGGAAAAAAATATAGTTTCATAATATATAATGATTGTTTATCGAAAACAAGTACGTTTGAGTAGTTTAAGAAGTTTCAAGAAGGACGAGAATCCGTTGAAGACATCTCTGTGAAGTTAGCACGACGTTTTAATAAAAAAAAAAACAATATAGTTCCAGTAGAACTTTTCATAGTTCTATAGTTCCTGATAAAAAGAAAAGAAAGTTCCGCATTTTTAATACCAAAAAATCGAAATTGATAAAATGTGCTAACTTCCGTTCCAGCACGACACAGTTCCCTCTAAAGTCTCAGAAGGCTTTATGTAATAGGCGTTCTGACGAGAGTTCCCGTTAGTTCTAGTCTAGATACATAGTAATTCCGAATTTCAGTACCAAATTGCATCAAATAACAACATAACATTTTTGAAGCATTGTCGTGCCAGCACGGCACTCTACGAAAATGCATCATGCCGACGATTTCCGTCACGTTTGACGACTGTTCTAGTTTGTTCTACTCGAGTTCTATCCATTTCAATCGGTTTCAGGGAGTGTTGCGACGTGCAAGTATTTTTTTATGAATTTTTGAAATTTAGCGCCAACACGACACTTTATGAAAATGCATCGTGTCGACGACTTCCGGCACATTTGACGACTGTTCTAGTTTGTTCTATTCGAGTTCTATCCATTTCAATCGGTTTCAGAGAGTATTCCGACGTGCAAGTATTTTTTTATGAATTTTGTAATTTAGCCCCAGCACGACACTCTATGAAAATGCATCGTGCCGACGACTTCCGTCACGTTTGACGACTGTTCTAGTTTGTTCTACTCGAGTTCTATCCATTTCAACCGGTTTCAGCGAATGTTCCGATCCAATCTACTCAAACGTGTCAAACGTGCCGGAAGTCGTCGGCACGACGCATTTTCATAGAGTGTCGTGCTGGCGATAAATTTCAAAATTCATAAAAAAATACTTGCACGTCGCAACACTCCCTGAAACCGATTGAAATGGATAGAACTCGAGTAGAACAAACTAGAACAGTCGTCAAACGTGCCGGAAATCGTCGGCACGATGCATTTTCGTAGAGTGCCGTGCTGGCACGACAATGCTTCAAAGATGTTATGTTGGTTTTTGATGCAATTTGGTACTGAAATTCGGAATTACTATGTATCTAGACTAGAACTAACGGAAACTCTCGTCAAAACGCCTATTACATAAAGCCTTCTGAGACTTTAGAGGGAACTGTGTCGTGCTGGAACGGAAGTTAGCACATTTTATCAATTTCGATTTTTTGGTATTACAAATGTGGAACTTTTTTTCTTTTGATCAGGAACTATAGAACTATGAAAAGTGCTACTGGAACTAGTAATGTTTTTTTTTTTTTATTGAAACGTCGTGCTAACTTCACAGACACGTTGAAGACGACCCACGCTCTGGAAGATCATCAACGGATGACGCTCACATTGAGAAAGTGAAAGAATTGCTCCAAAATCGTCGATTGACTATGCGAGAGATAGCAGATGAAGTTGGAATATCATTTGAATCATGCTAGCACACAATCCGTAAGAAACGACCGGAATTGTGAGAAAACAACTAGGATTTTGTATCACGACAACGCACCATTGCATACCTTGACCTCGACACTTGTGCGTGAATTTCTGATAAAAACTCAACGAATGTCGCTCCACAAGCACCGTATTCACCAAACATAGCCCCTTGCAACTTTTTCCTATTCCTTTTATTGAAAAGACTACTTCGCAGTTCCTTTGTGTTCGTACCCTAACGTCATAGTCACGCCCGCGACTCATTGTCAGATTACAGCCGAGAAAGAATCAGCTTAACTCGCATCGCTGAGCGAGAATGAGAGCGAGAAAGAGAGAAAGATATTCTTGCTCGTGTCGCCGAGCGTACACCAGAGCGAGAAAGTGGGAATGATATTCTCTCTCTCGCTCGGTGCGCCGACGGTTGCCGTGCGCATGGCCCACACAGATAGACCGAGCCGGCTGTATGTACGTGCATGGTGGGGGAAATTCGCTGGCAAGCCAGTCACCGATTTCCCATCACTGCTTTGCGGACAGCGTTTCGAATTGATTGAGAACATCAAAGAAAAATCGCTGCGTAAATTGAAGATCATACCGTCTGCCGCGTATGAGCGATGTTTCCAGGACTGGATCAAACGCTGTGCATATGTGCGTTGCAAGCAATGGGGACTACTTTGAAAGAGATTATAAGAATTTTGATGATTGAATTGTAATTTTGATTTTTAAAAATAAAGTTCGGATACTTTCTAATCACAGTAGTACACATGTATATATAGATATATATTATGAAACTGTACTTTTTTCATGTGTATATTATACACGTATATCTATACATATGTACAAATATACAAATGTACAAATGTGCTAAAGTTTAGAAAGTCCACTATATCTTTACCTCCAACTCGAAAAGGATACACCTTCTACTTTAGTCTGCTGTCACTCGTTCTTCAACTCTTCTTTTGTCCCACTTTGACCCTCCATTTTTCGAAACTGAGAAATAGACTCAACTTAAAATTTTTCTAAAAGTAATATTTCATCATAAACTTTTATTTAGCATACAATTTGGTTCGAAATTCAAGATTTAGAAAACAGGCGATTTTTGGGACCGTTCTGCATATCTTAACTGAGATTAGTTTCTTCGAGTCACTATTAGAAGGTTGAATTAATTCTAGTCCCTAGCAATAGATAACTTTATTAACAAATTAATAGTTAGTACGAATGTTGAAATCTGGCAACAATGAAAGATTTGACATTTCTCTATGACATATGACAGTTTGCGCGCTATTGTTACTGATAGTTTCCTTGTTTATACGAGTCTAAAATGGGTCATACAAAATTGCATTTTCAACATTTATTACTTTTTTGTTCGATTTGAAAAAGTTGGCAACTGACGCTCATGAAATGCTTGTTACAACTTATGGTGATAAAGCTCCATCATATTCTAATTATAAATTTTGGTTTCAACGATATAAAAGTAGTGATTTCGATTTGAGTGAAAAGGAACATACTGGTCAACGAAAAAAATTCAAAGATTCTGAATTGCAAGCATTATTGAATGAAAACACCGCTCAAATGGAAAAACAATTAGCTGAACAACTCAATCGATAATCAACTCGATAATATCGATCATATCGATAATATCGATAAATCAACAATTTCTAAATGCCTACACGCCATTGAAAAAATTCAAAAGGAAGGCAAATGGATTCCACATGAACTAAGTGAAAGTACATTGCAAATCGTTTGAATGTAGCCATGTCTTTGCTTGCCAGAGAGAAAAAGAGTTTTTTTATGGCGAATTGTAGCTGAAGATGAAAAGTGGATTTATTTTGATAATCCAAAGTGAAAAAAATCACGGGTTGATTCAGGACAACCATCAACATCGATACCTAAACGGAACATTCACGGTCCAAAGCAATGCTCTGTATTTGGTGGGACATGGAAGATGTGGTGTATTATGAGCTTCTACGAGGGTTGCCTTTTATATTTCGGGAATAGAGAACAAAAAAAGGAAATTAATCATCGTACATGGGTTTATTGTTTTTCAAAATATTCTCCATGAAGATCAATACACTTTTGCATGCGCTTGAACCAATTTTCGAAGCACTTTTTCCACTCCGATTGAGGTACCTCCAAAACATGCATTTTGAACGCATCAACCGCTTCTTCAGGCGTCGAAAAATGTTGACCTCGTAATTTATTTTTGATTTGCGGGAATAAAAAGAAGTCATTGGGTGCCAAATCAGGGCTGTATGGCGGATAACCCATCAATTCGACTTTTTCAGTTCTCAAAAAGTCTCTTGTTTGAGCCGATGTGTGAGAGCTCGCATTGTCCTGGTGAAGAATGATGCGTCTTCGACGGTTGGTTTCCCTTATTTTTCCGAAGATTTCTGACAAACAAATGGTTGTGTACCATTCAGAATTGACCGTCCGACATTGTACTAATGGTACAGTTGCCACATATCCGGTTTTTCCGAAAAAAACAGGCGACCATTTGCTTCGAAGTGCTTCGTGCGCGAACAACTTTTGTTGGATTTGGCTCATCTTGAAAGACCCATACAGTCGACTGCTGTTTACTTTCGGGCTCATACGCATAGATCCATGATTCGTCACCTCTTACGATATCATAGACGTGTTTTGAAGCACCGCAATCGTATTTCTTGAGCATTTCTTTCGACCAATCGACACGAGCCTTTTGTTAAGCGATTGTTAAATTATATGGGATTCAACGCGAACAAATTTTTTTGACAGCCAAATGTTCATGCAATATTGAATGTATGCTGGTCCCACTAATGCCCAAGGATGCCTCAATCTCACGATAAGTCACATGACGATCTTGCAATATCAGTTCACGCACAGCATCAATGTTTTCTGGAACAACAACCGATTTTGGACGACTTTCACGAAATTCATCACTAAGCGAACTACGGCCACAATTGAATTCCGTATACCATCGATATATAGTGATTTTTGATGGTGCTTCATCGCCAAAAGTCGAATTAAGTTCATCGATGCACTGTTGTTGAGATAATCCACGTCGAAAGTTATAAAAAATAATCGCACGGAAATGTCCACGACTTAATTCCATTTCTTGGCCGACATCAATTTTTCATGTCACTGTAAACAACACAAATGGCGCATGGACATCAAAACGTTCTAAGTAAGTATACTGACAAAAAGTCGAACTTTACGTTAGGGACGTCGGTTGTCAGATGGCAGCACCTGGATCGTCCATTCCCGAAATATAAAAGGCAACCCTCGTAAAACCGAATGAAACAGTTACGGGGGAGCGATACCAGCAATAATTGAATAAATTGAATGATGAATTAATGTAAAAAAGGTTAACGATAGCCAGCAATAGACGAAAAATGATTCCTTTGCGCGATAATGCTTGTCCACATGTTACTTCAATCGTTAAATAAACATTGTTAGAGCTCAAATGGGAAATCCGTCCGCACCCAGTGTACTCTCCAGACTTAGCACTATCTGATTACCATCTATTCTGATCGATGCAACATGCTTTGGCAAATACACACTTCAATAACTATGAGTATATGCAAAAATGAGTGTCTGATTGGATTGCTTTGAAAGACAAATCGTTTTATTGTCGTGGAATCGGTATATTATCAGAAAAATGGAAAAAAGTCTCAGCTAACGATAGAAAATATTTCAATTGATGTAAATTTAACCATTTCTTTAAAATAGAGATAAAAAATTGACAAAAGAAGACCAGAATTAATTCAATCTCTTAATATTAACACGCGTTTACATGCCACTCACTTTATCCTTGTCGTCCTCATCGTCGTCATCATCCCCCGGCGTCAATGGACAATCGTCTGATCCGAGCTCAGCGTGATCTTGAAACTGCGAACTCGCGTAAATCAAAGGTGCGCCCGTCACTACAGCGACCTGCCCGCAAATCCAATGATTGAACCCGCTCCTCTCGCCGCTAAGCTGACGAGTAGCAAAAAGTACGACATGCAGCATCGCCGATAAAGAAAGGAAGCGGATGTATGTTGCACTCGTGGGCGAAAGTAATATCAAATTATACAAAGAGATTTATATAGATTTACGAATACATGTCAAGTTTCATTTATAATTAATTAGTTTAGAAAACAATTGTTCATTAATCCTGCTATTCAATCTGAATTCAATTGAGCTATATCCATTTTCTTTAAATGTAAAATATTCTCCAATTTTATGACCTCGTTTCGATTTCCTAATTATATATTATTTCATTACAAATTGACTTTTACATACAAGAGAGCACAAATATATTCTTTTCCTTTCAAATTACACAAAAATATAAAGACATTCACTTAGATTCGAAGTACTAAATGTGCACAAAGTACACGCAAAATAACAGGGTTAAGAGTCATGCACGATTCCAGTAATTTATTTACCTACTTCCAATAGTTTATTTCTTTTATATAAAAAGACTATTGTAAAACTTATTAGATGAGTCAAAAAGTCGTAGCAGTCTCACAATGTAAAAAAAGCAACCGGTTTATTTGCATTTGAAACATTTATTTAGCCAAAAGAAATATTGAATTTTTTATGTATTTGAATTTTAGAAACTATCTTCCACATGTTCGAATAAATATAGCAACTTCTCTTCGTAATATTTACGAATGTATTTTTACAACGATGAAACCTTCACTCAAGTATTCACGATACTCGTATTCCATCAGAAACTTCGGAAAAATATTTTTTTTCGTTATCTATTTTATCAAAACTATTTTCTCTGAAAATAAACTTTGTGCCCATGTTTCGAAACAAACGCCGCCACAATTTTTTTATTCATTCAAATATGCATTCGCAATGTTTTCAAACAAAATTCAATACACGTAAGCCTATAACAAGCATATAGTACATTTTGGACGACAGTATTTTCAATTTAATTAAAGACATTAATCATTATCATTGTACATACTCATAACCGGTGGGTCTGCAGGAAGCACTAAGGAGCGAAGAAAATAAAGACTAAAGAATCAGAAATAGATTTTTAGTTGAAATATAGTAAGCGCTTCATAGCATAGCAACTAATGAATCAGGGTCCGTAGGATTTCGTGCTAGCAATAAATAAATTTTAATCCCTTGCTCTGAAAATCGCAAGCATTCAATCCACGAAAGAATTCTTTAGATTTAACATATTAATAATATTAATATTTAATTGTACGTAATAAGCATCATGATAATAACATATTGATGATCAGGATACAAACGTAATATCGTACCTGCGAGCGAAAGATTAAAATTCAACTGAAAAAAGCAATAATAAGTTATAATAACGTACCAAGTAATATTTAAGAAGAATCAGCAATGCCACAGCCGGTATCATATATGGCTCAAAATAATAACATCCAAAGATAAAGATGACCAAGGCAAAGACGCTCCTCATTTTGCTTTCCCATTCCCAGCAGCTCCTAACCGTAGAAAAAAGCGAAAGAAAATATCATAAAGAGCGAAATTCCGACTTTGTCAAAGTGATTTTGTGCAATAGAATTAAAGAGAAAAAGGAAAAGGAAATTACATGTACGGTTATAATTTTTCCTTCAGTTTATAACGAATATTGTTAAGTAACAGAATTCACTCGAATATTATTGAACATTTTTTGTATAATTATTTTTTTCCATATCACTCTGCAAATCTCAAAAAATAAAATATTATATTTCCTAGTAATTAGATTCTTCCTACTCGAGATAAAATCAAAGTTAACTCACTGTATGTATTTTCCTATGTCAATGAATATGACGATAATAGCTTTGAGCCGGAGCACGTTTCGCAAAAAGACTTGTCTCTTGAATTTCACTTCCGGTTCCATATATTTCTTCTCCATTGGATTGAGCGTTCTCACGCATGCCCTGAGCATGTTCCACACTACCGTCATCTCCAATAGAATTTGGGGGCAGTTTCCTTTCGCGCGACCCCTCAGCTTTTTGTCCTTCAATGCGTACCATCTTTTCTCACCGTTGCGAATCTTCAGCAATGGTATCGCCACTTTCCCGAGAAACTCCACCTTGTGATCTCGATCTTCGTCGTACACCGTTACCTCCAGCACGGAATTGATATCCTTCACGTTACTGTTTAAAGAGCAAGCATTATTTCTTCGTCAGTTTGTCGAAAACATAGCCCGATAGGCAAAAGGCTCATAGAAACGAACATTACTCGCTCAACTTACAAAGTGAAAATTTTTTGCCAGTTTGGTGCAAGAGTTTTATATTCCGTTTGCGTCTGTAATCGAGCATTCACGAGTTCGAGAACACAGAACGGGTCGCTTTTGCCTCCAAGATCGGCAGCTGCAAGACCTTGTGCGCGATATACCTGTAAGAAGAAAAGCCGATATCAAAGTGAATATCCATGTCACATTGGACAGCCGGAAAATTCAATTGATGACAAACATAAACGGATTTCTCAACGTTCTGAACTTAAAAGCTGATGCTCTATATCGGAACAAATCGGATACATAAAATAATTCTTTTAATATAACAATATAACTTGATATCAAAAAACGATATTTCTGTTATCGCGACCTGTTTAAACATTAGACCAGTGTTGGATCACTACTGTATCTAAAGACAGTATCTAAATACATTTTGTGTATCTGAGCCTGTATCTAAGATACAGTATCTAAGTATGTATCTAAGATACATACATTCGAATTGGAGCATTTGTATCTGTATCTATTGGGTCTATGCATAATTCCGTAGCGAAAATTGAATAAATTTCAAACGCAAAATATTTAATAAAAATAGCGATTTTAATCAACTAAATATGTTCCATTCCATTCAATGACTTTCTGCCATATCTCCACGAGCTTCATTATCCCTCTTTCATAGAAGTTCTGAGATCTTTGGGCAAATATGTCATCCAAATGGTTTTTGAGGACGTCCAAGGAACTGAAGGTTTTATTATTCAAATTGTTCTGTAGTACCCGCAACAAGTGGTAGTCTGAAGGTGCAAGGTCCGGACTATACGGTAGGTGCACCAAAACATCCCACTCAAGCCGCAATAACTTTTGCCGAGTTATCAGAGAAACATGTGGTCTAGCATTATCCTGGTGGAACACAACGCCCTTTCTGTTTGCCAATTCGGGCCACTTCTAATCGATTGCTCGCTTTAATTTGACCTGTTATGAGCAATACTTGTCGAATCAATCGTTTTGTTGGGTAGCAGCAGCTCATAATAAACGATTCCTTTCCAATCCCACCAGATACAGAGCATGACCTTCTTCGAGTGTAATTCAGCCTTTACGACCGTCTGAGCAGCCTCCCCTTCATGCTTCGACCATGATCTTTTACGACTGACATTATTATAGACAATCCACTTTTCATCGCCAGTGATCATCCGCTTTAAAAATGGTTCGTTTTGATGGCGTTTGAACAGCAAATCGCAAGCTGAAATTCGGTTCATTAAATTCTTTTCGCTCAGTTCATGCGGTACTCAAACATGAAGCTTGTTTACCATCCTAAGCTTCCGTAAATGTCTCGAAACAGTTGATTGGTCAATGTTGAGGTTATGTTCGATCTCTGTAGTCGTCAAATGCGGGTCGGAGTCGATTAAAGCCTTGATTTGATCGACATCAGTAATGACTGGCCGACCAGAGCGAGGAGCATCTTGGAGATCAAAATCTCCGCAACGAAATTTCGCAAACCACTTCCGACACACATTTTCGCTTACGGCATTCTCTCCATACATGACGCATATGTTTTTGTGAGTTTGCGACGCGTTTTTGCCTTTTCGGAAATAAAGAAACCAAATGCACCGAAAATACACGGTTTTTCCTTCCAAGTTCAAAATATAATTAAACTTCGTATACGGATCACGGATCTCGATGAATACTTTCTTAAAATGTCGGCACAAATTTTAACTTTCACTTAATGTACGACATTTCATATGTTCGACACATATGCGAGCGGAGAAACAACTGGGAACGACATTTGCCGGAATTTCGCTACGGAATTATGCATAGACCCAATAGATACAAAACACAGTATCTGAACGGCTTTTCAGATACATTTTCACGTATTTTTTGTCGATAATAGAAAAAAAATTATCGTAATAATGAAAAATTTACTCTCTCTCTTGATTTGCACTCTTGATTTGCTACAGAGAGAAAACTATTATTATTTAGGATACATTTTGCCAGTTTCGTTGCAACTTAAAATTGATTTGCAGATACTTCACAAATTACCTAGTTGCGAACCTTTGAGAAATGCTCTAATAGATGGCATTAACAAAAGATTCGGGAATACTATATTGAATTTTGACAGTATATGCAGTAAACCTGCACATTATTTCATCTGTGGCTGTTTCTAAACTTAAGTTAAAATAGCTAAACTTGATTCCAGAAGCAGGGATTTTTTTCAAAAACGACCCTAATTCACGAATATTGTAAAAATTTGCTTATTATAGAAACAAAAAAATATGCGTATTTAAAAAATGGAACTAGAATATATTTTTCAATATTAGTTAATATTTATTATATTATATATATATGGTATTATATTATATTTATATATATTATATATATTATATATATATTGGATCTGGGAAAAAGTTCGTGGCGTTTTTTTAGTAAAATTCAACTGGTTTTCTTATAGTGTGAAAATGAATTTATTTAAACCAAATATGCTCCATTATTATCGACAATGTTTCGCCATTTTTCGGGTAGAGTCATAATGCTATCGGTGAAGAACTTCTGTGGTTTCTGGTTGAAAAACTGAATGAAGTGGTTTTCACAGGCTTCTTTTGAAACCAGCTTAATTCCATTGAGAGAGTTCTGCAGAGATCGGAACAAGTGATAGTCAGAGGGTGCTATGTCTAGACTATACGGTGGATGCATCAAAACTTCCCAACCAAGCTCTCGCAATTTTTGACGGGTCATCAAAGAAGTGTGTGGTCGGGCGTTGTCATGATGTAAGACAACACCTTTCCTATTATTCAATTCGGGCCGTTTTCTTTCAATTGCCTGGCGTAATCTCTCTAGTTGTCCACAGTAGAGTTGAGAATCAATCGTCTGACCAACTGGAAGTAGTTCATGGTGGACGATTCCCTCCCAGTCCCACCACACATACAGTATCACCTTTTTCGGCGTCAATCCTGGCTTCGCGAACGCTTGTGACGGCTCACCATCCCTTATCCACGATCTTTCACGCTTCCGATTGTCGTACGTGAACCATTTTTCATCACCGGTTATGACACGTTTCAGAAATGGCTCGATTTCATTGCGTTTCAGCAGCACATCGCAGATGTTAATTCGATCTATCATATTTTTCGCGCTCAACTCATGAGGAACCCATACATCGAGCTTCTTTTTGTAGCCAGCTTTGTGTAAATGGTTCAAAACAGTTTTGTGGTCAATGCCTACTAGCTCCATATCAATATCGACACTGCTGATATACTTATCTTGCTGGATTTTTTTAAGAATTTCATCAGCTTTTTCAGTGATTGAACGACCAGAGCGTAACTCATCTTTCACATCAAAATTACCAGAACGAAAGCGAGCGAACCATTTCCGCGCAGCAGATTTTGATAAAGTACCTTCACCGTACACAGCACAAATTTTTTCACAAGCCTGCGCAGCGTTCTTCCCTTTGTCATAATAATATTGCAAAATATAGCGCAATTTTTCATTACTTTTCTCCATTTTCAAACGCAACAACTTTCCAACCACTACACCAATTTCGATGTTTATACACTCAAAGTAACGCTCGAAGTGTCACCTTTCCAACGAGCGTTTAGTGGTGTTGTTGCGATCTGTGTTTCCTGAGTTATTTGCAATTGACGCTATTTATCGGGAAAAACGCCACGAACTTTTTCCCAGACCCAATATATATATATATATATGTATATATATGATATATATATTACATATATTATATTATATATATATTATATACTATATTATTATATATATTATATTATATTTATTATATTTATATTATATTTATGTTTATTTATTTTTTATTAATATTTTTATTAAAATTTTTTCAATATTTTTTTGAACATCTTCCGTGGATGAACAATTCTTTAAATTTTTAAAAAGTCAAGATAACGTGGAAACAATTGACAATGCCATCGGCATGGAAGTTCTTTCTTATTTGTCAGACAAGCAAAAAAATATTGCATCTATAGTACGTTATCCTCATATGAAACATTTGTTTTTAAAGTTCAACGCGATTATATCATCATCAGCACCGGTTGAGCGTTTATTTAGCATTGGAGGTCAAATTTTAATATCGCGGCGAAACAGATTAAGTGACGATATGTTTGGCATTTTTTATATGTAAGATTATCGATCAATTTGTGTAATTTTAATGTAAACAAACAATATTAATAAATAATAAAATATTTGTTCAGTATATTTCATACATATTATCATTACTATGATAAAATACAAAAAATCCAAAAGTATCTGATGTGTATCTGAGATACCTCCGAAGTATCTGAGCATCTATATTTAGATACATTTTCAATTTATGTATCTGTGCCAAGATACATTTGAAATGTGCCTTGCCCATCGCTGTATTAAACTTGCGTTAAAACTCGATTAAGATAATTGGGAACGATTTACTCGATCTTACTCAATTTTCATGAACTAACTCAAAACAATTAATTTAATAGAAGTCTCGGCAAATGCGTAGATTATTGGCACCACTCTCGATTCGCAATTCAATGAGGAAAGATATCTGTGATCTTTATATATGTTATCAAGGACATGAGTCTGAGTAACTTTCAAAAAGTTGTAGATAGCAGTCACCGCTTATAAAAAAGTCAATAACAAAAAGGGTTTGAAGAAATGAGCGTAAAAGAATTTTATTTATGTAAAAGCCAAACTTAGAATGATATAAAGTAGAATTGTATGGATTCGATTAGATTGTTTGTAGGTACGAGGAAAAAGCCAAACATCTTCTCTACTCACACGTATACTGTATATACACATTCTATTTATGATTTTTACAGTTCGACATATCTCAAAACAGATATTCATAATTGAAGCAGTAACATTTATTAAATAATTTTTATATATATTATTTATGATGTTGGTTTATAGAAATAAACCATGACATTAAAAAAACTCATCAAAGAGAATAAATTGTTTTAAACATAAATTCGGACAAATAATATACAGGGTGGCCTACATAACTCTTAACAGCTGAATATTTCGGAAACTATTTGTCAAATAAAAAAGTTGTTCATGAGAAAGTTTTATGCATTCGAGGGGCCTTTCTAACTACATAAATATTAAGTTATTCCCTGCCCCCTTAAAGGGGGGCAGGGGGCAACTTCGCAAAAAAAAAACGAGGCCCCCTATAAAATGT